ACCACTATGTATATTTTTAAAATATATTTTCTCAGATTTCCTTTAAAAACCACAAAATGCAGTTTTCTACATTGACTCCATTTAGATTACTATCATATCATACTTATAATGCTTCACTTAAATTGAATAACATTTTCTCTCACCTTTTTAATTGCATTTTCTGTTTTAAAATGTTGTTTAAATGAATATTTCCTTTGTTGGTCTGCTTAAATAAATATAGTTTACTTATGAATATTTTGAATTAGGAATAAATGAAATTCTGTTTTTGCTGTCAGAACCAAATTGTAAAAATGCATTGCATGTCTTTGAAAATCAGTACACTCTATTAGCAGGCCTGTCAATATAAAAAGTGCATTCCATTTCCACCTCTTGCTCTAATAACCTTTTCTGTGTTACTCTGAGGCAGTCATATAATCAGAGTATATTATCAGCTTACTGGAGTTGGGGAAGCATGAAATGAAAATCACGTTAATATTGATCCAATTCTTTTACTCGCAGTTGTCCTTGAAGTCCTCTTCAACTGAGCAATAACTGTTGGTATTAGGGAGACATTTTCTCTGTTCTTTTCCAAGTTCCAGTAGTGCCTGTGTGTGTAACTACTTTGCATTAAGAATTTAACAATTGGAATAGTTTCTATGAATGCTGGATTTTAATTAATTAGATTAAATTAATTAGATTTAATTAATTAGATTTCTAATACCACATTTACTACATCAATGAAATATTTTCCTCCACTTTTCCATCTTTCAGCCTACCTGAGAATATATGTTTTGTCTAATTTAAAATAAATAGATTGTGTGTGCAAGTTCCTTTTTGATAAAAAGGATACTACAATCTGGTTTCATGTAACATAATGATGTGCTAAAATGGGTCCTAAATTTTATAAATTACTGATTCCGATAAGGATTGCCATTTCTGAATCAAGTTGATCGTAAATTTAAAGCTGGTATCTTGGGTTTTTAAATCTGTTTTGGATTATTCAGTATATTCTCATTCAAAAAAAGAAACCAAAATAGAAATTTTGATTGGATTCAATGCATTTAGACTAAAACACAACTAAGAATGGGGGAATTTGATGTCTGAATCTATAATTTTATATCTATGTGAATTGAATTTCCTTAGTAACTACACAGATTTTTATTTAAGTTGTGTTTTCAACAACAAATAAAAACAGGCTGTTATAACAGAAACAATTTCATTTATGGAAACACTTCCTTTCAGATGATGACTATCTTATGAATAAAATGAAACTTCTGATACAGCCTTATGTATAAAAGAAAATAAGATATTTAACATTGCTAGTCATTTGTTTTTAATTTAGTACTGTAACCAATATCATTAACAGTTTTTACCTTTGTGATTTTTAACCGAAAGCTTTTTTTTTTTAAAGAATCTTACTCTTCAAAGAAAATGCTTTTTTTGTCACTTAATGTTAAATGGAAAAGTAGTCTTTCAGATCATCATCATTTATGTTTGTTTATCAAGGAAATACTTTGTATGTCATAAGATCAAACATAACATTAAATTTAGACCTTAAATGACTTAGACATAAAAAAATTTATGTGATAGTAAAGAATTGTTATAGCAACGTATATTCAATATATGTAGCTTATTTTACCTAACAAATATAGTAAGGTCAGCATAAAGTTTTTGAACAAAAGGTTTCTCAGTAAATCATTCTTTCATCTTTTTTTCAAAATTTTCAAAATTGTAAATGTATCAGTAATAGACTGATTCACACATATTATTACATAAAATCCTGTCATCATACCTAATATAAGTAGCTGAATTGTATATTTATCTTTAAATCTTTTCATATTCATGGAATATGAATATCATTTGTAATTACTAAATGTATGATCAGAAAAGGTATGTTACACTGACTTATAATTTTAAAGAGCAAAAGATAATCTTTAACACTTTTTAAAGTATTTGTTTCATGAATGCTTCTTTTTCATAACAAGTAGGTTTGAAAATTTTAGATTTTTTGTGTTTTTGTTGCTGGCTTTTTGTTTTGTTTTATTTGTGATTTCAGTATTTTGTCTTACTTTCGTAAGGGTGGACTTTGTCAAAATGCATTGACAACTAAATATTGTAAAATCATGTGTATTGAAAGTAATTTCTGCTTTGAATGTCATGAAACTGATTTTTTAGATGTTGAGAAACATTAGAATTTTTAGATCACACATTTAGGTAAAATTAAAATTCTGTTCTGCCAACTTGCCTTCAAAGATTTCCTTCCAAAGATGAAAAATGTCTATATCAAGTATATGTGTATACATATATATATATATATATATATATATCCACTACATCAATATCTATATATATCGATATCTATTTATATAGATCTATATACATATATCTATATATCTCTCTATGTATAGTGTGGATTTTTTAAAAGATATGTTCCTAGTGGATATTGGAAAAAACAATGAAGAATGGCAAATCACATAGTTCTCATTTATGAGATCACAAAGGACATAAAAAAGAAATTAAGTAACGAAATGTAAAATGAATAAGTGAATTATGTTTGTTTCACGTGCTTAGTCAGCAAACATGTTACCACTTCATATGATACCTGACACAGTTGAAATTAAGGTTTACTAAGAGATTCCCTAAATATGACTACAAAATGAACAATGATAATGCTTTTTGACCCAAGAAAGGTTAAGCAGTCTAATAGTAATGCTAGAATATAATACTAGAAACATTTTAGTTCTCCTACTCACTTCTAAAAGTAGTTTGTTTCATACAAATCCCTAGTATTAAAAGAAATTTTATGTGAGAGAATTTAGGGTAAAGTAATGCAGTACTACATATTATGTAGCATTTTTACATTCAGAGCTTCTCTAAATAGATGTCTTTACTAATAAGACTATATATAGAATCCTTTTATGTATTTATTTGTATCATGACACAAAATATTAACTTTGGATTTGACCTGATTACTCTATAAATTAATTTTCCCCTAAAATTTATGCCATTTTATTGTTTTCATAGCAAGCAAACATGGATTTCTATCATCTCTAGCTTTCTACATAATTAATATTTTAAAATCAATGGCATCCTGGTGGTTTGTGGTATTTGCTTGTTAATTTTTTGATGAATGGCTAAAGAGGCCAAGAAGTGCACTCAGTCTAACATGTCTTCTGAAGATGGATGATCTTACATAAATTCTCTTTCCAATCAGATTTTGATTTGTTGGGTGATAAACCAATTCTTTCTAAGGACAGTGTTTACAAGCCTTGTAATGAGACAGCCCTCTGAAACCTTACTTCTTTTGCCTGTAATTTTGATGAATGAAACTCTAATTCATAAAAGATACTGTGATTGAAAAGCACCTTTAGATCTCATATGCTTTAATTTAGATAAATGTTTGTTGTAATACCATAAAATCGGGAAGTTCAGTGAGCTTCAAATTGATGACTCTTCAATAGGGATAAGATCCGTGTGTTGATATGGACTTATTTACTATGTATCTTTTAAAGATGTTATTGTTTTACTGCTTTAAAACTAGAAGAGATAAAATTGAAAGTTTGATATACACATCAGAGCTCAGCTTGCTACTAAATTTTCTCTAATGGTAGATTTTTTATTTTCAAAACAAAAATAGTGTAAAGCCTTTTTTTTTTAACTCATGATTATGACGAGCAAAATGTGCTTTATTGGTCTGATTCATACTTAAAACAGCTTTATTGATTCTTATGCAAAAAACTGATTTCCTTTCATGAAACTGCATAAACTTTCATCAATTTTCTCCAAACTGAATTAAATCAGTAAGACTCTAAGCATTCTTGAGAATTTAAGGCTTAGAAATATCCAGCAGTAACTGAAATGTCTGTTTAAAGGCATTGTGCTAAGAACTGAGAATACAGAGACAAACACGTTTCTAATGGTTAAAGTTCTGCCAGGCTGTCCTGGAGATAAATATGCAATTACAGTGCCCATAAGTACTTCAGCAGCAGGATTTATGAGGTGTGGTGAGCACGTAAGGGAAAGAGAGAACAAATTTACCTTAAGAAATTAGAGAAGGAAATGAGGTTGGAGGTTAAACTTGAGTTCACCACATGTTTGTAATACACCTGTTAGGGGCCAGACAGGAGGCTTCAGTAATGACATCTCAGCCTAGTGAGAGAGCAGATGAAAAACTGAATATATATATTCATATATATATATATATATATACATATATATATATACACATATATATAATGTAAAAACTATGAAAATACAAGTCATTTGGTTAAGAGAGTGACCTGAAGAAAAAGTGAATTTTAAAGGGCAAGTAGGATTTTAGTTTTTGTATTTTTCTCTACAGCAAAATGTAGGCATCATTTATTAATTGCTAAAGAATCAGCTATTGTGAATTATGTTTCTGTATCATTCCTAACTCTGTCTTTCTGTGGCTCTCAAATGACCATCTGTTTTTTCTTCAGTTTAAATGCTTTTTTTTTTTTTATCTTCAGGCCTATCTCACCTACTTAAAAAAAAACCAGCTCATCTATTTAGTTAATTCATACAAAAGTATAGTTATGTAAAATTATGATTTTATAAATCAGAAACTTGAGTTTATGGTGTGGTACAGACTTTTTGTAGAATATGCACTGATCTTAAAATTTGAATTATCGGCTGGGGATTTAGCTCAGCGGCATAAGCGCCTGCCTTGCAAGCAGGCAGTGGTGAGTTCGATCCCTGATATGGATAAAAAGGAAAAAGACAAACAAACAAAAGAAATCTGAATTATCAGTCCCCTGACAACTCATGGAGCTTTTATCAGCCTGTTTCCCCGTCTGTAAAACAAAGAGGTGATTAAATCCCTCCTTTCTCACAGAAAACCAAACAAGATGAAGAAGTTGAAAATGTTCTTTTATTATAAAGTAATAATGCAGCATATCACGGCAAGATAGTAATAAAAGTTAAAAAGTAATAAAGTTATTTCTAATACTCACTGAAAAAAACAATCACAGTGACCTAAATTATATCTTTATTCTGATTAGGCACTGAAGAAGATGTGGTAAAGTCAAAAAAAGCTTTCAGAAGTCAAGCAATAGTGAACCAAAATGCAGAAACTGAACTCATGCTGGAAGGTGACGATGATGCAGTCAGTCTGCTCCAGGAGAAAGAAATCGACAATCTTGCAGGTAAATTTCTCAACATTTTTGTTCTGTTTGTTGTGATAAGCCCACAAAAGTTACTGAATTCAGAACTTCTCTCCTGGTGAACAAGTGTGTGCAGGTAGTCATAGTGATCAATCACATGAATAATTATCTCATTCTAGGATTGAAGAGAATACCTCAAACAAATGTATAATTTACTTACAGATTTTCTATGTTATTTGTATATAGGGGAAATAATGTATAAGTTTATACAATACACATACAAATGCCTTTATCATTGGAAATTAGGACTTACTTACGTCCCTACTGCTAACAGCTATGAAGAATGGCCTGTTCAGCCAGGTGGTCATGAAACTGCCATTTTGCCCCATGGTCACTCTTCAGAGTCACTCCCACAGTGCTGATCCATCACTAGAAGACATTCTTCCCCTGCCACCCTCAGGTCACCTTGTCTAGGTGCTAATCTGAGGTCACTTGAGGATAGCATCAGCAGTGGGCAGATGGGGTATGACTGGACAAAGGGGTTGGCTGGTAACCTTTTGTCCCAGACTACCTTGAGAATATGATGGAAGCAGTCACTTGTAACAAGGCTCATACAATTTCAGAGCATTTGCCAAACTCCAACAACCACTCTATAAAATAATATACTAGATGTTGAGTTAAAATCCCTGCTGCTAAGTCTTTAAAAGTGACTCAGTTATGTATTTTCAACCCACACAACATTGTAAAGAAGATCGGAATTATGTTTATCTTCCTGTTTGCAAAATTGTACTCCTATTTACAGGAACATGGCTATATAAAAGCCTTCAGTGATTCTTTTTGTCTACCAATTACAGATTTGTTTTTACCAAACAGATGTTACTGTTAACAGGAAAGTGGAAATGGCCTCTTATTCTCCCACTTTTTTTTTTTAATTTTACTCTGAAGATAGTAAAAATACAAAAAGACAAGACAGAACAAAGCCAACTGAGACAATGCAGTGAAATTGGTACAGAACTTCACAGCAGGATCCTGGGATGGTAGTAATAGGTACTATGGTATATCTCGTTATCTTCACAATAGTTGTCCAGTCAATTAGGGATAGCAAAATCAAACCAAAAACAGAACATTATAAAACCAATTGAAAGAGAGTATTAAATACAGCAAACAAACATAACAAAGCAGTGAAAACAACCTTTGCCTTTAAACAGAAGATAGAAGGAAATCCCCCATATTTGCTATATGGTCATCCTCCCAAGAGATGCTCAGACCTCTGTCCCAAAGAAAACATCACCATTACAGAAAATCTAGATAAAAATTAAAATCCAAGAGATTTTAAAATCTGTATACCAGATTTTAACTGATATAATCTCATATTTATCTGATATTTTAGAAATATTATATAAAATACAAATTATCTACCTGAATATGAAAATTACATTCTTAACTGTTCATGAATTAATGAATAACTTGCTCATGATTAATAGAAGAATTGTGCCATCAAAAATACACAAATAATTATTTTTAGGTTTTAGATTTTATGTGGAAAATACACCAAATACACTATAGCAATAATATTAAACATGAACCTGCTGATTAGCCCATTTTGTTTTCCTCCTCTCACAAAAATCCTGTTTTGATTACATAACACACAGGTAAGACCATACATTAATATTTTTGGTATGTAATATAATAGTCAAGTTAAATTCAAACAGAAAAAAGTGTGCTAATTAGTTTAGAGAACTGAGGAACTATACAAATGTAGTTAATATTAATTTTGTTTTTCTGGTTTAAAATATAAGATCATTTTCATTTCTAAGAAAAAGAGGAAACAGAGTCATAGCTAGCACGTCTTTCTAGGAAACAGTGTTCAGATGGCTGTGTACAGAACCCATATAACCTTTGCATGTCCCTGTGAGGTAGAAACTATTACTGTCACCAGTTTCAGAAGTTAAGATAAAGTGAAAATTAAAAGAGATATACTAACATGCATAAGCTTAAGAAGTGTATAAAACTAAAATATATTTCCTTACAGTACTTGGGTATATGTAAAACATCAAACGGCACCTTTAAATGTGTGCATCGATGTGTAGGTGTGTATACTTAAAAAGTATTCTCAAATGGTGCAAATACTAGGCCATCTCTTTTTATAGTTCCATATACTGGCTCCATTATATTATACTTACTATATATATGTATATATGTATGTATGTATATATATATATATATATATATATATATATATATAAATGCATAATAATTAATTCTAGCTTTATTTTTTAGAGAGTCTACATGTTGCCCAAATCATTCTGATAATTTTCTTAAAAATCTAGTAGATAGCTAGTGCTTTTATCAGAACTTTATTTAAATACTGACTCTTTCTCCTATTTTTTCTGTTCTTTTGGAAACTGCTAGTTTTAATAAAGATAAAATGTTGGCTGGGGATTTAGCTCAGCTGCATTAGTGCCTGCCTGGCAAGCATGAGGTCATGAGTTCAATCCCCAGTACCCCCCCAAAAAAGAAAAAGAAATAAATTAAATAAATAAATAAAGATAAAATGTTCCACCAAGTTCTGTAGCTTTAAATGTCATAAATGTCACACAGTTTTGTTTCACTTTTAGTTCCCTTTCTGTTCATCTCAAGAGGCAAGTTAAATATGTGTGATTAGTAATTAGTCAAGTTATTATGTATTGTACAAATGGCTATTATGATTTAATATAGAAATATGCCAGTTATTATGTTAATAACATGTAAATTAATTTACTTTTTTTAGTGATTCACCAAAGCAAATTTAGAACCTTCGATTCCATATGTACCTAAAGATCCCAGTTTACTAATTATACTTTACTTAAATCTTGAATTGTTATACTTGCCTGATTTTAATTGAAAATCTCCCTCATTTATTTTAAGATGAAATTTAGCAAGCTATTTCTTCAAATAACTACTAACTGAAATTTAAGATTCACTCAAATTTATGTGAATAAGCAAGTGAATAATTTAATTTTACTGACAGAATTGTGCCCCATTGTGAAATTATTTCATTTCTTTTAGGGTGTCACATACACTGAGTCACAATAGACATTTTACCTTACGGAATTGGAATTTATATAGATTTCCTTATTGTTACTTCCAAAAGCTATTAACTATACTAATTTAAAGAGTTTTAAGTTAATGATGATGATGAGAATGATAGTCTTTTATGCTTTCTTACCAATTATATAAATTACAATTCTCTATTTTGTTGTTTATATGTATAAAATGTCACCAACAGTTTATGTATTTGTTTAATATCCATTAACTTAAAACATTTTCCATAGTCCTAGTATCCAAATTTCTTCCTCCGCCTGATCCTTTCTGTCCATATCTTCCTATCAAAAGCACTATGCATTTTAAGACCTGTTTTATTTTTTTTTTTTTTTATTTTATTTTATTTTTTTTTTTAATTTTATTTAAGGAGAAAAGAAAAAAAAAAAGCAGGGAAAGAGTACAAGTTATACAGATTTACAGAAAAAAAATGAACAGTAGGAAATCACTAGTTAATGGATTACATATTGTCATCTTAGAAATAATTGTTCAAGTCACAAAATTAAAGCTTGTAAAGTGGACATTCCATCAATGATACTGCAAACAGTTCTGTTCATTGATCCAATAAAACTCTGTGATATCATTTTCTATCTTATACACTTAAATATACATGCAGTTATATAGTTTGGAGCACTTTCTTTTCCTCTCTTTTGTACCATGACTATTACACATTTTGGGTTTCATTGCTCCCACTGTTCTTATTACTTTTTTGGAAGAGAGTAAAACCAAATGCGACATAACAGAACAGAATTGGTCAAGTCAAAAGGGCGGACATAATAGATAATGTAAAAACATAATACAAGGTGATCAACAATGGTTACTATAATGCCTCCCGCTATCTCTAATAGAATTGCCTATATCGTTAGTTATAATACAATTGAACAAAACAGTAAAGAATAAAACCGACAAAACCAAAACATTGGAGACATTGTAGGTCTTCAAAAGTAGATAAAAGTCAACAAGAATGGGCGTCATAATGAATCTCATTATCTTCACAGCTGATGCCTAAACTTTCGAACCTGATACTATCCAGCAAAACAGAATAGGGGAACATCAGTTAAAAACCAGATGGTGAGAGTAATACAGGGCTTTGAATCAAGGTAATGAAAAGTCAAAATGGGTTACTATAATATATCCTGCTATTTTTTTCCTTTAATTAAAAGGATAAAGATAAAAAAGTAAATAATGGAGTGGAGATTGAGATAAAAGAGGGCATAACAACGAAACAGCGCAGATCAAAACATAACCATTTAAGCAGAATAGTGTTTCACCACCAGATAATCCTAACCTAAAAGTAGTTACCATATTGTTTCTTTCTTTGAAATCCTTGAGTACAACTTCGTATACTGTAGCATTAAGTATATCAAAACAATGTAAAACCATTCAAGAGAATGACAGCATTACAGAGTATTTAGAATCGACTAACAGAAAATGAACAATGGTTTCTGTATAATCTCCTTGTCTTTAAAAGGTTTTTGCTTATACTATCGTACATAATAAAATCCAATAAGATACAGCCTATTTAGACCATTGGAGACAGAAGGACAAAAGCTAGATGAGACTTCAAAACAAGATGATACTAAATCAGTATTATCTATTAAGATGTCATTTTCTCCAAAATAGCTGTTCCTATCATCCAATCTTCTCTGCCTCATTTCTGTTAAGCTCTTTTTCTGTCAGTAGCTGTCAGTTTGTCTTCTTCATTTTGTTCTCTGCTCCATTTGTTGTGGCCTCCCCGCCACTATTTCTGGGTTCTTTGTATTTTTCTTTTTTTAGAATATCCTGCAATACTTTCTGTAGAGTTGAATTGGTGGTTGCAAATTCCCCCAGTTCCTCTTTATCCTGGAAGCACCTTGTTTTTCCATCAATTTCCAGGGACAGTTGTGCAGGATATCTCAATCTTGGCTGGAGATTATTATCTTTCAATGCTTGAATTATTTCCCCCCATGCTCTTCGTGATT